ATAAAACGGGTGGTTCTAGAGGGATTCTTTTATTTTCGTACAGATATTATATCATACAAAATAACGTAACAACTTTAAAAAAAAATAATTTTTTTTTTATTTATCTAGATATCCCCCTTAAGTAAAGAGAGAGACTACACATCATCATACATATTTATATGGATTGTTTACATAATACAACAGGGATAAAACGAAAATATAAAATATTGTTTTCAGTATATACCGACAAAATAATATATCCACTTAAATATCACAAAATCGATATAATAATATCGCAAAGTTTAATCGCCCGTAAAATATCACATGGAAGACATGCCGTCATTATAAAATATACCAGCAGTATAATTATAGCATAAATATAATATATATAACTCAATTCAAGTATAATTAGTTATTAGTAGAACCTATGCAAATATTATTTGTAGTATTAAAAATAATTATCTATGCATGTACATATGTTATATTATAATAATTTTACTTTTTTTCTCAAGAACTTATAAATTATAAATACCTACTAAGTACTAACACTTGAAAACCAAATTTAAAGTATTTTCGATATATTTTAAGTTTTATAGTTTTAAATATAAAAATTTGTTTAGCTTACATAATATTTCTTAAGTTTGTAACGTGTAAGAGTAAGACCAAGATTATCTAAGAATTGTTGACCAACAATAGTATTTGTACCTATAATTCACTATGGCCTTATATGTATTCTCTTTTAGACTCCAAAATTATTTTTTTAAGCCAACTAAATTACCTAATATGAACTTAAGAATGTGATGGATTTAAAGGTCGAGAAAGTCAATCATATTATCACTCAATCACATCAAAAACAAAATAAAATGTGTTAAATTAATCGAACATTTTCAAATTATGTAGCCCCTGAAAAATAAAATTCCGGTCAAGCTTTTTTCCTGTGGAAATGTTTTAGTGTTCGATACAATTTACATTATGTCAATCATGAGTTGATTGAGGTATAAAATAATCAAAAAGGAATTCTCCGAGGATACGGCACAAAATATTTGTACGCCTTTGTCGTTCATTTGGAAAAATTAAAATTCTTACCTACTATCATAACCCTGCCATTGCCATTTAAACGTGTACTTAATACATATGAATTTTGATGTGCGTTTTAAAATAACCAGCCGTGGTTATTGGTCAAGAATCAAGATGTAATGTCTTTACTTTGTGATGAAAAAAAAAACACTCACCGAGCTTGATACAAAGTGAAATACTTCTAGGTACGCCGGTCGCCGATTATTTTTAAGAAGAGAGTTTGGGTATCATTTTAAATTTTTCATTAAACGTCTCCTACCAGCCTTGTTATTATTATTGTTACTGTTGTTTTTTTATGTGTTTTCTAACTAATGGACAGAAGATATTGAGCGTCGAGGCAAATGCATTATTTAAACATATTTCTGGGCGTTTTGTTACACCTGCTGGATCATTTCGGCGTCCATATTATGCACCTTTATTACTCTCGTGTGCCCTGTATAGTATTTTGTGCATATTATACATTTTATATATATTATATATTTATATAATATTTGTTTTTTCCTCGTTTCTTGGCAAACCGACGTCGGCGGGTGCTTAGCCGAACTCCACCCGTACCGAAATTCGATCTAAAAATAAAATACGGTCGACGGGCGTGCAAAATATTTCACGTTTGCCCGCTTCCCCCCCACTCGTCTAAAATTAACTGTCATTGAAAAACATGAAAGCGGAAAATTACTGTCATCGCCACACAGCCTCGCCGCGCAAAGCGCAATACGCGAGCACGCCCGTGTTAAAATGTGTCCGAGCCACGCCAGTTGCACCATATAATTTAGCTATAATAGGACAACCACACTCTCGGCGGGAATCGAGTTTTCGATCAAATCCCGGTGTGGTCGATGTCTCTATATTATAATGCGCGTTTAGAGCAACGGGGGAGGGGGGGGGTCGTTTACACAGAGATACATTTATGACGATGCCCGGCTATTTATAAAATATTATATATTAATAATATATTGCAGGTCGAGGCACACCGGATATATTATTACAATATACCCACACGTCATAATATAATGTATAATAGGTATATCTAATACCACAACACATACACACACACACACACACACACACACACACACACACACACACACACACACACACACACACACAGAGAATGATCAATCAAAAATGTTCGAGAGACGCCATTATGTGTGTGCGTTAGTGTGTGTGCATGTGTGTGTGTGTGTGTGTGTGAGTGTGAGTGTGCTTGTTCGTTTTTATGGTTGTGTGTGCCAATATATATCGTTTTAGCCATAAAATACGAAATTTTAATAGTTACGGTTTTCAATTATCAAATGCATTTCGCGTTAAACGATAACGCGCAGTTCGGAGTAAAGTTTATTATTCAGTATATTTTATAATACATACAATATATTCTGTGTCTCCGATCGTTTGTATTTTAATGATACATTACACACGTACATTCTCTAAATCTATTTTTTTTTTACGACAAATCAATGTTACCGACAATAAAAATAATATTTTAGTTCTAAAAATTAAAAACTATTTATGACTAGTTGTTCGTTAAATGTTCCTTTTATAATTTTGACGATGTTCACCAACTCATTTATTTAAAATATGAATGTTTTCATAGTTCCGTATAATATTTGAAAAAAAAACAAATTACATTTACAGCACCATTTTTACCAATATTTAAGTTTATTTATGGTTTTGAATTTTGAACATTGCTGTAAATATAATTCAATTGCCAAATTTCGAAATAAAAAAAATTTTGAATAAGAATTGTGACGCTGAAATCTATTTTTTCATAATTCTGTTTTTATGCATGGGTATTTATGAAATAATTAAACGATAAAAATATACATTATAAGTACATTACATTTCACATGTTTTATATTATTATCAAAAAACAAAACTATATTATACAAACAAAATCATTTTTTAGACCCTAAAATTCAAATTCCATAGTATTTTGTTACATGACATGTCGACATTTAAGAATGATTGCTAATGATTGCAATACTATCAGCTTTTAAAATAAAATGATATGATAATAAATGATCGTAAGCGTCCACAAAATATTAAGATGTTAGAACTGATAAATTTATTACCTTATCATTTTATGCTATCTAAAAATGTTGAGTTAATTTGAAATAATGTAGGTAACAGTCACCTCTAGCGAGTTTTCCATCAAAAATATTTATCTTAAAATTAATAGTTTAATCATTAGAGTGTATTTGTGCGTAATATTCTATTGACTTTTGAAACATAATTACTATAAATACATAAAATACATAAAATGAACATTAACTATAATCATAAACCTTATACGATTTTACACTCACTGCAGCAACATCATAGCCAGCATACCAAAACATTGACTAAAGTCCCAAATAGCACTTGTTAATGGGTGTTGCACGTTTTAAGATACCGAAAACTTGGACCGTTCATTTAGGATCAACGAAACTTTGTGGAAGTTAGTTTTCGCTTTCGGTGCACTATTATACTCGGATTTCATCTGCTAAAAGCACGTTAGAATCTTTAAAGAGAGATAAGTGTAGTAAGTAAAACAACCAATGAAAAGTATTGGATTCCGGAAACAGAAACCCATAATATCTGTTGTCGGAAAATAAAATACTCTAACATGTATAGTGCAGAACTGTGATCTAATACTATATATCTTGGTCTAATGTTAAGTGTTGCAACTCTTGTCATGGCAGTCCATTAATATTAATGTATCGGCTGCTTAATTGACTTTTAAGCTGTATATACAGCATAGTAAATATCTCGTCATAAACGTCAATATGTTTATATTATTAATTATAGTATTATAATAATTAATAACATTACACAAATTTGGTTAATTTACTACCTCTAACTGGGCTCTAAGGACCTAAGTAACACCATACGAGGAACATGAATAAAATTTTAAAATAATTATATAAAGTAGGTACACCCAAGTAGTATGTATAAACATAGATGCGTCTATATAATTATGTAATATATTTTATGAGTGTGTAATAGTGTAGGTACTGTGTGTTGTGTGTATGGTTGTAAAAGAATATTTTACTAGTCAGTTAGCTGTCAGATAAAATTGTCTTTTTGATTTTAGCAAGTTTCAAATGGTTACCTACATAGTAACATGGTATCATAAAATTAAAATTTTAAAATTTCAAACATATGACGGAGAATCGTTTTGACGTTTTTTTTAGTGCTTGGATAACTGTCCACCACTACTACCTACGACTGTCGAAAGCACAGACTTATCTTTCCCTCACAATAGACACTATTCGTCCATCTTACAAAACGTGGATGTCTCTCCTGTGATACGAAATATTAAAATACAATATTCTGTGGGCCCAATTATCCGAAATTTTAGGTACCCAAAGAATTACGCGTGAATTCCTGCAGATTAAATGAGAGATGCCGATTTAAAAGCGGTAAAAAACAACTTTTAACGAAATTCAAAATATGTACGAAAGCCGCAATGAATAAAAAATAATAGCTTATAAATTATAAATATACAATTAAATATAAACAATCACACTCAATGTAGTAAAAATTAATTTCTAATGCGTAAGAGCAGGGTTAAATAATAATAATAATAATAATATTATTATTAGTTAACTTCTATAGTTATTAAATTAGTTTATTTATACAATCAACTTTAAATTATAGCTATTAATTATTACGGTATATTATTTAATATTTATATGTTGTAATATGAGATACAGTTTGTATATAATATTTCCAATTCCAAATAGTCTTATTTAGAATTTACTTCTTTTATATTTCCGAAATGTACGAAATTATAAAAATATACCAATTATCTAGTTGATTTATAAATACCTATAATAATTAAATACTTTTACATTTTGAGAGGTATTTTTTTGTCTCTTACCAAAAAAAAATAATATCTATTATTATACCCATAGACCAATAGACCATACATGAACATTATAACTGTGACAACATAAAATGCATTGTTTTTAAATAAATAATATAATAATAAAAATATTTTGGTTACAAAAAGTTGTGTTCTGTTTGATTTGATCCATCTATTTTTCTGAAAGTAATATTAATATTATTAGTGATCAGAGCGTGCCATACCGATAGATTGTCAGCTATTAATTGTAATATTTTGACAAAAGCCAATAAAAAAATACGTCGTGTGAAAAATGATTGCAGAAGAAGATAGTTTTGATGGCTCAGCGATTGATTCCAATCCTTTACTGAAGAAGAAACAAAGGATTTCAAAATTAAAAATTAGTTCACCGTTAATAAAAAGACGGGTGCGTGCTTTAAAAAATCTTATTACAGCGCAGGTTGAAATTGAATTAAAATTTAATGCTGAAGTTCATCTTCTCAAATGCAAATTTCAAAAAGAGTACGAGCCATTTTTTAATTTACGAAGGGATCTAATTCAAGGCAAGTATGAACCTGTTAAAGAAGAATACGGTTCATCTACAGATGAAGACGGTGGCAATGAACTAGTTCCTAGACATGACAAAGGACGGAAAATGGTACGCGAAGCCAAAAAAGAAACAGTGCCGGGGATTCCCAACTTTTGGCTTACTTTCACGAGGAATTCATTAGTTCATATGCACAAGGGTGAAATACAACCTCACGATGTACCAATACTCAGTCATTTGACAGATATCAGAGTTAATCGGTCGGAAAAATATATCGGGTATACTATGGAATTCTACTTCGCACCCAATGAGTGGTTCACCAATAACGTGTTGGTCGTTACGTATGAAGAGACATATTTGCACAAAATATTTCATAATATTCAGTATGTTCTATTACCACATAAAGAAAAAGTCATATTCGTGAGTACAGGCTGTGAAATTCATTGGAATGAGGGGAAAAATGTGACAGAAACTGTTAAGGGTCCATCATTCTTCAAATTATTCAACACTTATGAAAACATAACCTTATCGAATATTTTAGGATATTTTAATCACGAATACTGCGAAAAGATGATTGCTAATGCTGTAGAATATTATTTAGACCCAACCATTAATTGTTATTTTTCTGACGATAACGAAGCAGAAGTGTCCGATTCTTTTGAAGGGACGGATTGATAACGCGTTTTAATTTGCCTATGTTAACGAAATAAGTATTATCTGAGACAATGGTCTCACTCGGTTGAATGTATATTATTTAAATATTACAAACAACAGAAAATTACGTGTAAGATACACATTATAATGTTTCTATGTGTTAAAGTTAAATAAAAGATTATAAAATAAAATAAAATATGAATTCAATTTTCAAACTTATGCAATAACACGCACTTGTACTTACCCATCGTGCCAATGACTGTCTGTCACGTTGTTTGTACACACCTGAGTACCTGACATACCTACCTGCTTTAATCATAATTCATAGTTATTATGTGAAAGACCTGCAGGCAGTACCACGTGACCGGACAACAGCTGATGATTGGTCCCGTGGGTGTGCGTTATAAGCACGTTTTTAAACGCAACTCTGCCGTGAACAGACGAAAACTCTTTTGTTAATGCATCGGAACAACAGATAGGGTACCTGCCCACTTTTTTCTGATTTATTTTTTCCTTCTTTTTTTTATTCCTACTATTCTACGAACAGGTCGTTGGTTAACGAAGTAAAAACTGCGACTCGCGGATTACGTAGGTATACCTAATATTTTATAACTGATATTGAATAATCATAGGTATTAATAGGAATTCATCGATCTCACCAGTACAGGTAGTCTTGAAACAACTAATAAATTCCGTCAATTGTAAATTGTAAGTTTGACGGGACCAGAACGGTATATGGAAATAGGTATATCCTTTCTGAATAAAAATGTAAGCCTTTTTTCATCAATTATTTTTTAACTCACAGATATTATCTTATATTCATATAGTTTTATTGGTTTAAGTGTACTACTGTAAAAACTGAGAATTATTCAATTTTTTTTAAAAATAATTCATAAAAAATTGTCAACTATGATTTATTATTATTGATTTTATACTAATAATATTATATTGATTATTACATTTTAATTTCATATGTTTAGTAACTAAATCAAATTTAATTTTTATAAACTGATGTACTGATCATACCTGATTTATTATTTTTAATATTATACTTGTACATTTTGGATACACTTATTATCTATTTCTTATTTATCTATATTGACTATATTATATAGATATGAGAAATCATTCACAAAAATATAAACCTATGTTTCATATTAGATCAAAATTACTTGCTTAAAACTTGTATAGAAATTAACAATTGTATTGTTCTCTCATTAGCACATCTTAAAAAAAATGTTGTTAAATTTATATTTAACTAAGTAATATAATTAAGGAGCAACCACGATGGTCAACAATAAAAATTGGTACAACCATTGACCAAAAGGTTGTTTGAAGACTAATAAAATACCGATGTACTGGCAGAATCGATGTTATATTGGCGGAACTGACAGGCCCCTTTATTAAATAATATATCATTTTCAGGCCAGAAACCAGAAGGTTAGGACACTGCAGCATTCGTCTGTTACATGCGGAAACACAATTTTAATTGGAATATTTGAGATTTTTAGTCCAATTTTTAATACGTAGTTTCCCATTTGTGTTTCTTTATATTAAATGAGTATGTATATCATAAACTCTGTTATGCCGTTCGAAAACAAATATATGCGAATTATGGTGTTTTGCCTTAATTATTAGCATACGACGTTGTACAATGTCAATATTATGTTACGATGACATTGTCTCTAAAATTTCGAGTGTTTTAAATTTCGTATTAAATACTGTATCTTATATTCTTATCATTAAAACCACATGAACAGTAAGAGTAATCAACGTTTTACGTTAATATGCACATGTTATATTACTTGGACTAATGATTTTGGTATTAAGATTTATTACATACCTTCTCGTAAACAACGAACCGGAAACGTGACGATAATAATAACAATTGTTGAGTTTATAATCATTTACCATATCACATATTTTATTATTATGGTTGGGACTTGAGCCACCGTGATTTTTCGCAGGGAGAACACGAAAAAACTGGAAAATGTGATGACTGCAGAGTGCAGACTCACTCGCGTTGTATAATAATAATAGTAATAATAATAACATTATTATCGTATTAACCGTCACACACGGACCCTAAACCCTTTCGGACACAAAGGCGCCGAGTGAGTCGATAAAATATAATATTATTATTAATCGATAGAGTATAGACGATGGCGATAATTTGAGAACCACGAGCTCGACAGACGGACGGGCCGACAACAACAGGTGTGGATTATTATAGTATACAATTTATAATTATTATTATTATAAATGATAGTATTATTGTTGCTACGTCAGTCATCGACCGGTGACCCAACTTCGGAATTTCGGCGAATTTTCACCACAGACCACTTTCGGCAGCGTTCTTAGTGCATAGAGGACGAGTGACCTTTATTTTATATTTTATGTGTACGTCTAAACCGACACCATTCGTTTGGTCTCCGGCTGACGTGACGACCGTTCAACCCTCGGGGCTTACGCTTCCCCAGTTTTCGCACGTTTCTCTGGCCACGCCGCACAAACCCCGCGAAAAGGTATATATTATAACGTTAGATCGTCTAGCTGTACATATTATTTTATAGGCAAACATATATATATATATACACAGTTTTTATGGTTAAATGGACTTTTCTGCTCCAAAAAATCGTACTGGCCGCCATGTAATATAATATATTATATATCGCACGTGGCCGATTTATCAACCACATTGAACACACAAGTTGCGGTTGAGCTCAGTATCAAAAAAAAATAAAATAAAATACTGTTTGTGCTAGAAGTTATATTAACACTACACACTGGGTGATTTCGAATTTATAACGACACTTATTTGTATTAAGGTTATTGGCTAATACCTATATTCAACTCGTTCGAGAGTGAAACAATTAAAAATAAGTAATTTATAATATTATATTATTATATCCCATATATTATTACCTAGATACTATCCATATATTGTTCCGTTAAAATACCTAATGGCTTATACAAAAGTCACGTCCTGTAATCTTAATTACAACCATAGTATTATATTATTTAGTGGCGTAATTTAGGCCACGTGCGAGGATATTATACTTTCTTGTCTTTGGTAAATCTGTGTTATGGTAATTTACATGGAGACTGTATTAGCTCTTGTTATTAAACTTAATGCAATTATTATTATTTTCATTTGAATCAGAAAATTGAATATATTATTATTATCTAATACCCTTGTATCTTCGTTTACCATAGGTAAAGTTGTTGATCTTTTGTTTCACGAATACCTTGCAATATTACAGTTACCACATTCAAAATGTCCTGCATAAATATTTGGGTGTAGAATAGGCATCACTGACATTATCAATATACCAATGATTTCATTTACAAAATACTAAATGACAAAATACTTAAGCAAATAATATTTAATACTTTCTTCAATATTATAGTAATATATTAATTTTTTCAAATATTTTAAACTCTGATATAGCAGACTTATGCCATATTTTATAAACAATTACTTAATATTTAACGAATCAATTTTGAGTTTTTGGTCCATGCTTTAACCATGAATCATGATTTAGTCATCAATAATTATTGGTCCATAAAATTGTATTGAACCGATAAAATTAATACATTTTTCATGCAATCCGATAATAATATGTTAAACAATTATTAGCAAGTGTTAATCTTAAATTTTAGAAAAAGGGCAAAATTAATTCAGGCAATATTACTACTAAGTATATTTCATACGTTTTTTTTTTTTAATATCGTTATTAAAGCAATTTATTCTTTATTTAAGAAACTAGTCATACGATGAATAATATTTTTAATTACAACTAAGTAATTGAAATTGTCTGAATTTTAACTTCAAGCAGCAATAAAAAACAGCATGCATATGAATCTTACTAAATATTTTTTTACAGTTTTAATCACAACTTATGAAAAATCTTATACTACATGTTTTAGCTTTTTTCGCAGTAACATTTTTTTTATTGGTGAAAATTGAAAAAATAATATAAAAGTCAAAAATATCGAATATCTATGATTAGCTCAAAAGATTCAAAATAATTTTAAAATTATATCATGAATAAAATATACTAGCTAATCTAAATATTTTTTGAAAATGTCAAGTATCTGTAAAAATAATTTTTTTTTTTAATTTACAACAAAATGAGAAAATTCTCGTTTTTCCCTAAATTGTTTTTGGTTTTTTTCCAATTATTGAGACAATTACTAATAATTTGTATACGTACAAACTAGATTTACTTTCAAATCAAAAAATATATATGAAAGTTGAAAATCGAAGTATTTTTCTATTATAAAAAGTGTCTTCAGACAAAAAAAAAAACCTTACCTAATATAAATTCAATCTAGCTGTTATAAAGTTTATACAAGTCGTATAGATGTACTATTAATAATTTATTAAAATTACATAGTTTTAATTTTTAGGTAATATTTTTCTACCGTTATTTTTATTTTTAGTATCTAAATTAGATAGATATAATCTAATTTAGATTTAAGTATTGTGTACATAATATTATTTAACTGTTTGACGATAATGACTGAATCTTAAAGTAAAATCTGTGTCATTCTACTTTTGTTTTTGATTCTAACCTCGGAACATTGCCAACATGTGTTGAGTATGAAGCTACTGACAATGAATAATATATAAGGCTATCTCTATATATAACATGCTTGAACATCAATTGTTGTTTGAACTCTATAATATCATGTTAAATGTTCATTTCGTAATATTCATACTTGCATAGTACCTACATTCAACTATTATCATAAATAATTAATTTTGGTTTTTTTTTAACATCACAAGGTAGGTACTTATTGCGATAGTATAGTAGGTATACATAGTAAACACATAGGTATAGAAATTAAATGTTTAAAATTTTAAACACAAATCGTATTTAAATATAAGTGACTAATAGGAAAAAAAAACTTTATTTTTAGATGTTTATTTGATATAAATAAATTCAATATTTCAAAAATATTGTTTTGCACTACATTAAGCTTATAATTGCTCAGTAAGTTATACTGGTCCATAACTTTTAATAAGTACCTACACTCATTATCTCTGTCAA